ACACACACACACACACACACACACACACACACACACACACACACACAGGCCCGTGGCAGATAAACCAGATTTAGACAGGAGGGGAAGGGAGAGGGAGAAATATGAAGCATCAGCAAGATAATGTTGCACTGTAAAAGTGAAGAGGGATGAAAAGAGGAACGGGGGGGGGGGGGGGGGCCGGGGAGCCATCAGCATGGGGGGGCCTGGGTTTGTTTACAAATTGAATTTAAGACTGAAGAATTGATGGAATTGTACCAATTCCGCAAACTCATGTCAAACTACTGGACCTTTTTACTCTGATGAAAAACTCCAAGTAGCACCCTCAAGCGGGAGTTTTTTTCAGACTCTTGTGAGCATATCCTGAGAAGGTCACGGGGTCTTACCCGTCATTGGCGGTAGCAGGAACAGGAGGCGATGTGGGTCCAGCTCCTCTGGGTTTGTTGACTTTGGCGTACAGCCTGTCAAGGGGGTCATCATCAGGGATGGCTCCAGGGTCGTTACCGTGATTCCCATGCCCTGGAAAGGCAGAGGGGCCTTGGGGGGAAGGGGTGCCCACATGGCCGTGCTGAACTGTGCTGTAGGGTGGCGACTGAGACTGGCTGCGAGGTGGCTGCGGCATTGGACCCATATCTCGGTCCCTGAAGGATTGTATTCGGGCATAGTTGGGGTCCGTGTCGTCATCTTCGTCATCTGGATACGCCGCCACGCCGCCACCCTGCTGGTCTCTGAGCCGGTGCTCTCTCAGCTCGGGGTGCCCTGCCTCGATCCTGACAGACAGATGGAGAGCCAATTAATGATAACGATGACTTGAGTTACAACGAGGGCTACCACAAAGAAATACCTTTAACGAACCACACGGAAGCAAACCATTATAGCGTAGAGCTCGAGAAATGACGAGCATGGTGAAGAGAGCGATAGAGAGCACGGAGAGAAGGATGAACAATAAAAAGAAAGGAATGGCATTAATGCGTTCCATGAGAACAATAAGTGAACAATCATCTGAAATGGAGAAGGAAAACAAAAGATGGTTACCGAATTCCTCTTGATGTCACACATTTAAAGCAAAAAAAAAAAAACATCATCATCAACGCTCCCCACCTTTCCCTCTCGTCTTTCATCCTCTCGAACTCATGATCACTCATAATGTCCGACTTCTGCCGCTGCAGAGCTGCTTTCGCCTCCTTTTTCTCCTCTTTCTTCTTCCCGAATCTGGACGGAGAGAAGAAGTGATAGAGACAGAGAGACGGGCATCAGACACAACGAGTAAGAGAGAGTCAAGTAGAGAAAGAACACTACGGTATACCAAATCTGTGTGGGGATTTCAACAGCAGATGAGGAACAAACATGACATTAACACTGTCCTTACAACACGCATGGCTGAAATCACAAGCGGGCACATGCAGACACAGTGACATGAACACACACACACACACACACACACGTTATTCAGTGCGAGAGCAGCCTGTGACTCCTCTCCGTCCTCTTACTCACAGACACAATCACATAGCATGAACCGAAGGTGTAAAGGTGTCTCACACTGCAGCTCATCAGCTTATCGAGCTCGGTAAGCAGCGGTCATAGTTGAACACAACCATTCAGCTATCGTGAAGTCACATTTAAATTGAAATGCTCTAAAAAAACGTAAGTTGGCTTCCATGTCTCTTTTAGTAGTTTTTTCCTCTTTGAGAGCATTTTATCATACAAATCACTTAAACTCCATGAACTATAATATACAAATACTATAGGTATGAAAGGCAAACAGATACAGTAAACGCACTTATCAAAAATAGGTAAACAGCAGGTAGTTGGACAATCAAATGTAGATTGACAACATTCAAATCTATATGTATTTGTCTGTGGTTGCAATGCATAGAGTGTGAGTAGTTCAATAAATGAGTTAGAAGCAGGATGTAAAGCTATTGCTACTCTGAACAACCTAATCTAAATTAGAAGATGGCCGCACATCAATAATCAAACCACACCAGTCGATACAGTTTGTGTGTGGTCAGCATCAGCAGCACACTCAGGGCTGCTGGACACGGCACAAGCCATTGCCAGGAGAGGACCGTGGCTCACGCAGGCACACAAATACACACACGTGATTATTAAAACGTTATAACTGAACGTGAATGAATAATGTGAGAGATACAATAAAATTACATTTTATTTCTTTCTTTCCTTCTTAAAACCAAGAACATGGTTTAATTCAACTTCAATGCTGACAAATGACTGATCGATATTTAGTTATTAAGAGCCATTCAGAGGCTAAAGAAAGCACTCATTAAACCTCACACGCCAGCAGCTGTATGGCGAGTAGGATTTGGTTAACTGAGCCAGTCAAAACCGCTAAATAGTTAATACCTCCAACATGCATATGACCTTATAACACACCTAATGTTTTATTTATCTGGTGAATTTATTGATGTATTAGTCTTCGGTCTACACTTCCGCTACCCACTGCTGCTGATGTTTTTGAAGTATTGCTATACTTAACCTGCTTGTGCATTATTCAAACAGCCATTCATGGTCATTCTAATGTGTGATTGTATGTGTGACTATTTTGTAGTTTACCTTGTGAACGTCTGCATTGCTAGAAAAACAAAACGTAGTATGTACTCTGAGGTAATCACTTTCTTTGAAATGCTTAATATGGACCGGGGGGGGGGGGGGGATGTCAAGAAGCTTTTTCACCGCCCATTGAGGGGGGCTCAATGGAGGGCCATAACAGTGTGTGTGCATTAACAGTTGGTGTGTGTTTGCCTCACAGGGGACAAGCCTTGCTCTAATGACTACTACCTCACTGAGCTGCAGGCTTACCCCTTTCTTCAACTCTCTCTCTTCCCCTCACTTACCCCTCGTTCACCTCTCTTCCCGTTTTACCTTTTCCTCCTCCTCTGCCGCAGAACTCTCCTCCCTTTCTCACATTAACCTCGTTTCTGTTGCTTCCCATCCATCCCGCCGCCTCGTTTGGCACGTCGCCCCTCGGTATCAAACACTTCTCTCACAGCACTTAAACTCTAACATCCCCTCCTCCTCCTTTCGTCTATTGCTGCCGTCCCCGTTTCTTCTCTCGCCTCAGCTTTTGAAACGGAAAATTAAATAAATTTGGGATACGGCTAGATTTCCGGTTGTTTACATGACTATATGAAAATATGACTTTTAAAGCGCTTTAAACGGTGCAATGTAGAAGATATGACTAGAATACTAATTTAAAACAGGTTACAGGCCAACTCTGCTCAATAGCAATACATGTCATAGTTATATTATATGAGGCTTTTGGGAAAATGAGGGAAAAGTACTACATTTTGAAAAGTAAATAGGGTGCACAAAAACATGTACTTCTCCACTGGGCCAAGTTCACCAGTGAAGATGAACATCACCAATTAGAATAAACATCTTTTCAGCAAATGGAAGGGAAAAGAGCAGCCAGGGAGGTATAGAGGGGAGCGTAAAGATGTGTGAAGATAATGGACACCTACAGCTTAATTATAGGCCTGCCTCCTCCCTCTAGGCCCTCTTGCTCTTACGGGGCTATACTGGGAGGCAACATGCATGGATACAAACACACAATTGAATGACTATACACACTTAGATATGGGCAGAAACATATAGAAGCCACAGACATATAGTTGTGTGAAAAAGTGTTTGCCCCCTTCCTGATTTCTTATTTTTTTGCATGTTTGTCACACTTAAATGTTTCAGATCATCAAACAAATTTAAATATTAGACAAAGATAACACAAGTAAACACAAAATGCAGTTTTTAAATGAAGGTTTTTATTATTAAGGGGGAAAAAAAATCCAAACCTACATGGCCCTGTGTGAAAAAGTGATTGCCCCCTAAACCTAATAACTGGTTGGGCCACCCTTAGCAGCAACAACTGCAATCAGGCGTTTGCGATAACTGGCAATGAGTCTTTTACAGCGCTGTAGAGGAATTTTGGCCCACTCATCTTTGCAGAATTGTTGTAATTCAGCCACATTGGAGGGTTTTCGAGCATGAACCGCCTTTTTAAGGTCATGCCACAGCATCTCAATCGGATTCAGGTCGGGACTTTGACTAGGCCACTCCAAAGTCTTCATTTTGTTTTTCTTAAGCCATTCAGAGGTGGACTTGCTGGTGTGTTTTGGATCATTGTCCTGCTGCAGAACCCAAGTGCGCTTCAGCTTGAGGTCACAAACAGATGGCCGGACATTCTCCTTCAGGTTTTTTGGTAGACAGCAGAATTCATGGTTCCATTTACCACAGCAAGTCTTCCAGGTCCTGAAGCAGCAAAACAGCCCCAGACCATCACACTACCGCCACCATATTTTACTGTTGGTATGATGTTGGTATGATGTTCCTTTTCTGAAATGTGTTTCTTTTACGCCAGATGTAATGGGACATACACCTTCCAAAAAGTTCAACTTTTGTCTCGTCAGTCCACAGAGTATTTTCCCAAAAGTCTTGGGGATCATCAAGATGTTTTCTGGCAAAACTGAGACGAGCCTTTATGTTCTTTTTGCTCAGCAGTGGTTTTCGTCTTGGAACTCTGCCATGCAGGCCATTTTTGCCCAGTCTCTTTCTTATGGTGGAGTCATGAACACTGACCTTAATTGAGGAAAGTGAGGCCTGCAGTTCTTTGGATGTTGTTCTGGGGTCTTTTGTGACCTCTTGGATGAGTCGTCGCTGCGCTCTTGGGGTAATTTTGGTCGGCCGGCCACTCCTGGGAAGGTTCACCACTGTTCCATGTTTTCGCCATTTGTGGATAATGGCTCTCACTGTGGTTCGCTGGAGTCCCAAAGCTTTAGAAATGGCTTTGTAACCTTTTCCAGACTGATAGATCTCAATTACTTTGTTTCTCATTTGTTCCTGAATTTCTTTGGATCGCAGCATGATGTCTAGCTTTTGAGGATCTTTTGGTCTACCTCACTTTGTCAGGCAGGTCCTATTTAAGTGATTTCTTGATTGAGAACAGGTGTGGCAGTAATCAGGCCTGGGTGTGGCTAGAGAAATTGAACTCAGCTTTCCAAAGATGTGATAAACCACAGTTAATTTATGTTTTAACGGGGGGGCAATCACTTTTTCACACAGGGCCATGTAGGTTTGGATTTTTTTTCCCCCTTAATAATAAAAACCTTCATTTAAAAACTGCATTTTGTGTTTACCTGTGTTATCTTTGTCTAACATTTAAATTTGTTTGATGATCTGAAACATTTAAGTGTGACAAACATGCAAAAAAATAAGAAATCAGGAAGGGGGCAACTGTACATCAAGTAGAAAGTGTCTGTCCTTGGGTGTGCTTGTGGCCTTTTCATGTGAGGGAAGTGACAGAAATAGAAAGCTATACGTTCTAGGGATGCCAGTGTGTTTCTCTTTGTACCTGCGAGCATGTGCAAGGAGAACAAGGAGATGGAAGTAAATAGGAGGTAAATCGACTTGTCTCATGATGTCAAGACACTCATGTTTGACCTTTTCCTTCTCTCTGCATCTTTGAGCGGAAGGCAAAAACATAAATCTGTTCTGTTTGTTTCTTTAAGTGTTCTCCTTCTGACTTCTGCCTGTCAACAACTTCCTCTTCATGTCATGTCCTTTAAAATGTCGTCGGTAGTAATTAGTTATTACGTGTCACCACGATGCACATTTACAAACTTAGAGAGGTGCTGGAGGTGAGGCTATATATATATATATATATATTTTTTTTTTTTTTTTATTTTTTTTTTTATTTTCTGTTTTACGTTACTATTTTCCATTTAATTTATTTTTTCTATGATGAATTACTTAAATGTGGAAAATAAGAAAACATGTGTGACATGGAAGCAGAGAACTGGCTAAAGTTCAACAGGCACATCATACACACACGATGGATCTTCATTTATCTTCTTCATTTACAAGTTACGACATTATCACTTTACATTATCAGATAATATCAAGAACAGCTGATTAACAGCCAGTTAGGAGGAATAAATGACCTCTTTACTGTCATTAGAGGGAACAGAATGACGACTCGGGAATATTCATGACCTAACGCCACACTCTGTATGGAAAGTGTTCGGCTCGTCATTCGCATGCTAGGGAGGTTTAATTAGACACACGCTGGTTTCTTAAAGCCTCCATAGGAGAAGAGGTAGGCTGGAAAATATAAAAACATAAAACAAACATTCAACTACTTCTAAATTTGTATTTTTATGGTGCATTTATTTAAACCACAAGACAGTTGTAAGTAAACA